TAGGTAGCTGATTTTTAATGTTCTCCGTCGTAAAAAAATTGGGCTGGTTATTTCTTTGCTATATAGTACTCATTGGACTTATTAACCTGACCTAAACTGAATATGATTTGCCCGATAAAGCGACAGTAAAATTATCTTTTCCATTTCGAGAAAAAAAAATTCTCACAAGAAAAAAACCAAAATCAAATGTGGCGAAGATCAGCATCGTTTATCCTCGACGAGCGACGAAGCTCGAATTCACCTCCCATGGCCGAAGACACTACACCAGGAGGTCCATTTCAAAACCCAGATTCCATCTCCGCTTACTATCAAACCCGAGCGGCGCATCATCACGGTGTCATTACAAGCGACTGGCTAGCCCAAGCTCAAGCCGCCGTAGGCGGCGGCGTCGTCGTCTCAGGCGAGGATCGGCAAGATTCATCCGTCACTGAGTTCGGAACGGAGAAATCGTTTAACGTGATCGATGAATTCAACAACTGGAGAAAACAACCGGATCTGGCTGAAGCCGTCGCGGCTATACGAGCTCTAGCTGCTGTGATTCGTGCGAGTGAAGCTAGTACAATGATGGAGCTTGAAATTGAGCTGAAAAAAGCTTCAGATACACTCAAGGTGAGATTATCTGCAATTTTGATTTTGATCATTTCTGGGTTTTTTTTTTGTTGATGAGCTTAATTTTTGTTGGCCAGTCATGGGACAAAACGTCGATTTCGTTGACTGCTGGATGTGATCTGTTCATTAGATACGTTACGAGAACTTCTGCTTTAGAATATGAAGATTTCAATTCAGCTAAGTCTCGTCTTCTTGAACGTGCTGAGAAATTTGGGGAAATATCTTGCAAGGTTCATTTTCTTAACATTTCAAGCTCAATTTAGTAGTAATCAATGAAGTAGATCAAAAAGAGAAAGAAGGTTTTAGAAATGTTTTTTTTTTTTCCGCAGGCTCGTAGGATTATCGCAATGCTTAGTCAAGATTTTGTATTTGATGGCTGTACTATATTGGTTCATGGATACTCTAGAGTTGTTCTTGAAATACTAAAGACAGCTGCACAAAACAACAAGCTCTTTCGAGTTCTCTGCACAGGTTCTCTTTTCGAATTACTTGTTCTGATGTGTTCCTATTTCAGCAGTATGGTATTGTTAAATTGCTATTTTCGAACTTGAGTCGTAACCGCTTATTGTCTTGCCTCTTAGTGTAATTTGTTTTCTTGGGTTACATACAATGTTCTGAGGCATTTTGTTGCTTGTGACCTACATAATCTTGGCGTCAGCGCTCTTCTCTTTGTGATTTCGTAGTATTAGTAGCCTCTTGCTGAGAACCCTTTTCACGAAAATATTACAGAGGGAAGGCCGGATGGAACAGGAGTTTTGCTATCGAATGAGCTGTCGAAGCTCGATATCCCTGTGAAACTGCTGCTTGATTCTGCTGTGGCGTATAGCATGGACGAAGTGGACATGGTGTTTGTCGGGGCAGATGGAGTTGTGGAAAGTGGCGGTATTATCAACATGATGGGAACTTACCAGATTGCACTTGTCGCACACAGCATGAACAAACCGGTCTATGTTGCTGCCGAGAGTTACAAGGTTATTTTCTTGATGTGTTTATAAGATTCA